GAAGGCTGCAGTACCTGGGGAGTGCAAATCCCGCTTCTTAGTATCCTTTTTCAGCATACCATACCATATAGCATAAACATAAAGATATAGAAACATATCCTGCATAACAATCACTACCCTAAACACATAATGAACAGAATAATCAACTATAACACATCACTAACACTAATAACTCTACATCAATTATATCAAACACAGACAAACCAACAGACACATAAACATCCATTCCATTCCTTCAAGGCCTATCACACAAATTGAACGCATTTCTCTCTTCTGATAACTTTAAAATAGACTTCAAAAACTATGAAACACTACACACCCTTTTTTTTCCTAAATTAAAGATACCAAACCTTTAAAAAATAAGTCTGTTGTAATTTACAAAATCAATTGTTTAAACTGTTCGGCAACTTACTTCGGAATTATATCCAATATCTGGGAAAGAGTGTACAACAACTTATTTATGATTGCAAAAAAAAACACTCAAAATACTACAGCACTGGCTACCCTCCATTTTCAACACCAATACAAATTCGATTTCACCAATACAAAAATATTAAACACGAAACAAAACATACATAAAGTAACTTTTCAGAAATGGTTTCCATCAACAGAGATAAGCACAGAATCAATTACTGAACAGAGACATGCAAATTCACCGAAGCTACGTTAATAAAATAAATCAAATTTGACATCAACAACACACAAAATATAGGATACAACATATAAAACAAGCATTACACTGCACACATCAAACAATTTCTACATAGTCTAATTCTTCAACAATTTGTCTTTCCTTTCCCTAATTATCACCGTCTATATAATCCCGAAAGGATAATCAGGCCAAACCTTTACCCGTTTTTTCCATTGTCTGCTGCTTTCAACTCAAATAAGCCGACTGCTCATAAAAATGAATTTCTATCTCTACTTCTTTCCCCATTCCTTCGAAATGAAACAACAAAAAACATTTATATCTTCCTAACACTCGCCACACGACACACAACCGTGACACATCTACACAGAAAACACACAGTTTGAGTGAGTACAAATACTGTGAATAAAACTAAAATTTCTATATTGGGTACATCATTGTATTAATTCATAATCAAATCTTATATTTATTTGTATAATTTACACAATGTTAATAATAAATAAATACCCGGCTAAATAATCCCTGAAGGTGAACTCAATAAAGATTGAAACGTTGGCATAAATTAGTTTACACAATTCATTTTCACCTCTTACAAGTACTTGTATAAATAATCCAAACAAAATTTGTAAATCCCAGGCCCTGAAGATGATCTAAATAAAGATCAAAACTTTGGCACAATAAAGAAAACGTTTTTCTAAACCTTCATCACGTCAGACCGCATCTGAAGATCTCCACAAATATTCATTAATTAACGCTCACTAAATACTACATATGTAGCTTAAGTTGTATTTTTTATTATAGTTGCAATTTTATAGAAAAACATGAATTACATTGTGAGCCTTAGACATATTTGGCCAACTTATCCTATTTATATAAATAACTATTAATTATACTTATGGAAATAATAATTCCAGCATTTAACCAGATATTAATGAAGCCAATTCTGAGATTGTACTTAATTGAATTTTCCTCATGTTAATTTAATTTCGATAAAACATTCCAGGCCTTTCTCTGCTCCTAATCGAATTATATAATCGTGGCTTTTAAGCCAACCTTATTGATGCACATCCTATTCCGGAACTCGCCCAACATCTTCCTGATTGAATTAGGAAAGGCACTAATGATACTTTTGAATAACGAATGAACGATCACGTCCGGAGAAGAAAGGAAAATTCGATTTATCAAGAACGACCGTTGCCTTAGCACTTTATTGGTAGAAGCAGATGCAGTTCTAAAAAAATATATAAAAATAAAGCGATTCTCTTAATAAGAAAACTTGTTTAACATATTTTAATATGTTAATGGGCACTCTCAACACGGCACGCAAGAATGGCACAATTACACAGAACACAAACTCTTTGAGCCCTGAAGATGATCTCAATAAAGATCGAAACGTTGGCAAGATTAAAAAAAACGTTTTTCTGAAACCTACATCACACCAGACCGCATCTCACGATTTCTAAATAAATATTTTAATATGTGTGTTGTTTATTGACCGTTATCCCATGATTATTTGGAGATCGTGAGATGCGGTCTGGTGTGACGATGTTTTAGAAAAACATGTTCTTTATCGTGCCAACGTTTCGATCTTTATTGAGATCATCTTCAGAGCCTGGAATCGAAACGTTGTCACGATAGAGAAAATGTTTTTCTAAAACCTACGTCACACCAGACCGCATCTCACGATCTTCAAATAATCATAATTAAAATCATATTTTAATATGTAGAATATACATTATATGAACAATACATATGTAATTTCTAAAACACATACATGACCTCCTAAATGTATATTCATTTGCTTTCTAACGTGTGATGGACTTTTGTTGAATTAAAAAATCAGAAATTAAAATTCTGCAATTTTGACTGTTATTCAATTCTATTGTTTTAGGTATACATCTACTTTAATGTTTCTTTTAAATTGTTTCATTGTATAGAATTATGTTATTAATTAAATACTATTGTTTCAGAAATTGTCTGAAGTTATTCGTACTTCAGAGTGACATATATTTCATGGAAAACCAAAACAAAAATGAAACTAAAAGCAATAAAATTCATTATTTACTCAAAATTCTCCACGTTATCGATGAGTTAAATAAGTAATTCTGACGTTAGTGTTCAATTTTCATTTGACTATACTCTTTGGGCCAATACTGACGATGGCGAAATGCTGAAAGACGTCCGACAGACTGAACCAACTTATAGATTTATTAATCTAACTAATCTTACACTAGGTATTTTTATCTGATTGCATTGATGTATGAATACAAGTAATCGATTGGCAATTAAGTAAGAAATGCCCAGTTATTTGATAATTACAAGCATTCTCTAAATAAAGGAATCAATTATTTTAGATCATAAATTTTACTAAGGAAGAATTTACATCTGCCATTTTTGCTAGGCTGTAAGCGATTATAAACTTCTTACTTTTGTAATAATTGACTGTGAACTTTGACGACAGTTTGCACCGTCAGAATCTTTTTCCGAACCGTAACCCGAAAAGCTTTTAATGGACTACTTAGACCGGGAAATATGGGCGAAACAAACTTACCACTTTTGCTCATACGTTATCAAAATATAATCGGCTTCCAGGTACACTCGCAATGTCGAAGTGAAAATACTTTATGAAATATTGAAATCACTATCGGTTTTTCGGAGGTTTTTGGACGCTTCATTAGCCCCGTCGGTTGGGTCATTCGAGCAGAAAATTCTAATTTAATTGACATCATTTTAACCTACATAACTAATTATTAATAAACTTTTGAAAAAAAACAGAAAATTAAATGTAATAAGTAAAAGATAACCGAGGGCAAATTAATGTTTTTTTTTTTTTAATTATTCCTACAAATTTGTATATACGATTATTTATTAAATTTATTTTAATGAATTCAAGTAACAGATTTCAATAATTCATATAAATTTTTAATGAAAAAAAATATTATTTGTACCCTATACGTATTACAAAAGAGATCGAAAAAGGTTTGTTCACACGGCAATAGAACGAACAATTATGCCAGCGCTGTACGCGGAGGGCATTCACCATGAGAAATCAGCAAATGCTCGGACACAGTGTGAGGGATTAAGGGTGACGAGTCCTCGAGGTCATCGAAAGTAAGGCTACCTGGCGGGTTCTCAGGATGGGAATGTGTAGAGAGAGCACGAGCAGTTGGGTTAGGATGGATCGAAAGGGTGGTTTGAAATTTTTGGTATCGGGAACAGATAGTTCCTTGACAAAAGGAATGCTGTGGACGTGGTGGATAGTATGGTTAGTGACATAGTAAGGAGCTTTGACGATTTGTCTGAAAAATTTTTATTGGAAGGATTGGATGCGCTGGATGTAGGACAGCTTCACGAAACCCCACGGTTTCACTTTGTATGTCCAAAGTGGTCACACTAAGGCTTGTATAAGGTTAGCTTAGTTTTGATGTCAAGGCATATTTTCGCCGAAGTTTTCGTAATTGTTCAAATCTTCTGTTGAGTCGTTGCCTATTAGGTCTTGTATGGGGATTCCATGTCGGTCTGCTGTGTAGGTATAGTCCTAAGTATTTGTCTGGAATGGAAATCGGTATCGTTTTGCTGTTGATGTGGAGGGCAAGCCTGCCATGTGAACGTACATTGAATTCATTTTTCTTTATTCAGTCTTGTCCTTCACTTTTTTCACTAGTTATGGTTAAGCTTAAGGCTTTCTTGGATGTTGGAGGTAGTGTAGAAAAGATTCGAGTTAGACGATTGCGGTATCGCCGGTGAAAGCGGTGATTATGGATTATAAGTAGGTCTTGTATCTGTTTGACTTCCGAGAACCCTTTGCCGCACCTCTCTCTAAAACAGCGGTCGGTTAGACAGAATTTCAGAATAAGGTAATAAGGAGTGGGTAGGATGTGTTTATGTTCGTAAAGCAAGCTCGGGTGGCCCTATCAGTAGGTTGTACTACTTCTCGGAACGCAACAAAACCATATTATTTGAAAAATGGGAAACAGGAGGGAATGTTCAAAAGGTGGGTTGAGATGGGAAGTTGGTGTCCGAGTGGATCGAAGTCACAATAGCTCAAGTGGTAGAGCAGCGGCGTATTTAGCCGAATGTCGTGGGTTCGAATCCCGCTCGTGACGCTGACTTTTTTATTTCAACCAATACCTTCATAAAGATTAATTAATTGCAAGAGGTTATTTGGTCAATCGGAACACAAAATCTAATGGATATATTTTTTATTCTCTACAACAGATGAGATAGTGTCGTCAACTCTGAAACTTGTTGGATCGTGGAATGATGAAGACGAAAACCAAACTGGTGAGAGGATACGAATTTATAAGTACCTAGGAAGTTATTAAGCGATTTATTGAAAATTTAATCTTACCTTAATATTGTCTGTGGTCGACGTCTACGGCACTGAGTTCTTCAAGATTCTCATCTGTCAAACAAACATAAACATTATTATAGCGACAAATTGCTTATTCGATATGTATTTCTAAGGAGAAAATGTGGTATTAAATTTTTAATTTTTATTAGCTCTCAAACGCCCAACTCACAAAAATATCCTAACCCATGAAAGCGACGTATGGCTTCATGTGTGCAGCTAGCTTTTTATTCTGAACATAACTGCATGAATCTTACAACTTGTGCTATGATTTTCACCAGGTCACTTAACTGGCACTAGATGCAGCACTGCTTCAGGAGAAGATAAATGTCTTAAGAAATCAGCCTAAGCTGACAATCTAAACTGCTAAGCTATTATTGGGCAAGTAGACGGCAATGTTGTTTCAGTAGACGTTGATGATTCAAAGGATGTAAGACAGTAGTGCGGGTTTATGGTCATACGAAATGTTAAAGTGGAACTTTAGGAAGCTGGAACGGATCAAATATTGAACGAAGGTTCAGGTTATTGTGTACGGTAAAGTTAAAACTGGTGGAATTCTTCTCTGTACGATTGTTTATGTCTGGTTCACCTTACAAAGTCCAAGTTTTTCTGTTCAGTTCTTATCGCTCCCGTATTATCGTATTATAAATTTATTGCTGTGGATGTTGGTAATTTCTTGATGATGTCGTATGATCTAGGCCAAGTCTATTTCTACTATTTCCATTTTTTACACTGATCTTTAATGAGCTTGTGTTGTCCCTGGATAAGAGAGTGCTAAAATAAGATTCGGATTCGTGTCAGTGTTGGAATACCTATGCAAATCAATAATAAAATTTAACGAAAGCGACGCCCTGATAAATGAATTGATAATTTTCCACCTTAATTATCTATAATATGAGCCAATAAAAGTTCCGCCGGTTCCAATAAAACAGTCACCCACAGTTCGGCCTTTTTTCTTACTTCGTTATCAAATTGACTGGGTGAACACATTGCAAGCTATTTCTATATTCCTTGCAACTATACAACACATAAAATGATCTGTTTAAACAGTGTACGAGGACACAACTGTTGATGGCGTGAAACTATAGACATGCCAACATATCACTGCAATTGTCTTGAGCCAATCACAGCACCTCATTTCCTTTTTTACCTCGAACTCAAACTACTTCCAAATAGCTGTCTTCTCAAAAACACCAAAACTTCAAGGTTGCTGTGGCAAACCCAATTCAGGTCAATACGAAATTCTCCACGTTATAAAAGCAATTAATTAAGGTTTTTAGTTGAGATAAAAAAGTCAATGGCACGAGAGGGATTCGAACCCACGACCTTTGGCTAAATACGCCGCTGCTCTACCACTTGAGCTATCGTGACCTCGATCCACTCGGACACCAACTTCCTAACTCAACCCACCTTTTGATTTCCCACCTTTTTCCCATTTTTCAAGGTCCCGATAGCTCAAGTGGTAGAGCAGCGGCGTATCTAGCCGAAGATCGTGGGTTCGAATCTCGCTCGTACCATTGACTTATTTATCTCAACTAAAAACCTTAATTAATTGTAATATATTAATTAGTCAAGCGGACCACGAAATTGGTGAAGTTATAAAAGCAGTTAAGGTATTTTCTTCTTTGTAAAATAAGTGGATCCTATCTACAATCTCAAATTGTGATCAGTTCGTTTTAATAAGTTAATGCAATTTATAGTTTTTTTTCCCTATTTGTTGAGATAGATGGAACTCTATATACACCGAGAGGCAAAAAACATGTGGCCACCATTTCTTTAGTAAATACTTGCAATCGTTAAAACTTTATTTTTTGTTTATTGGATATTTTAAAGATAAATTCAATTCAGTATAGAGAATTTCCTCCTTTTGATCTGATCGCCGTTGGCATACAAAAGATTTATATTCTTTCAAACTTCAATTGTAAACATAAGTGGGAGATTTTATCTGTGTTTTATTTACCTCCAATCTTTTAAAACAGACCAAATATTGTTATATGATAAACAATGAATGATTGCCTAAGGAATAATTAAAAATATTAACGGTGGCCATTTTTTATACCTCTCGGTGTACTTGAATTGTTGTTGGTTAACCATGTACCTTTATGGGCAACTGGCGAAGGCAAGGCTCTAAGATTTTAAGATGGCTTGACGAAACAGGATCGCACTAGTCTACGCCTAGTCACTATAAAGAAGCTTTTTGGTAAAACTTTTAGGGTTTCCTATTTTCCACGTAAACGTTTCCGAATTCGAATCCTAGTGATGTGCGATACCTGAAAATATTCTATACAGGTATCGAAAGAAATATTGGTTACTACTCAAGTACGGTCAGAAATTATTCGATACTAACGAGTACTTACTTATGAGTACTTTAATATAAATGGTGAATGATGGAGTGAGTGCAAGGTTCAATCCTTTTTTTAAAAAGGTAGTTCCTACTCACAGTAAGTTGTTATCCAACGACCCTGATTTCGAGCCCATAGCTCATCATCAGGTTGTAGAAATCATTCAACCTGATGATGAGCTAAGGGGATCGAAATCCGGATCGTTGGAAAACAACTTTCTGTGAGAAGGAACTATGAGTACTTTGTCGTTAATTCATAAATTATCAACTTACTCACTATGCGTGTAAAATAGCTCATGCGTTAAAATAAAAAAAAATTTGCAGTTTTTTTCAAATTTTTATGTATTTTTTCTAACAGTGGAGACGTAGATAGGAACAAAGAAAAGCTGTCAACAAATACCAACAAACTTGATATTTCTGTTTTATCGTTATCGAGTTTTGAGAAAATTGTTCGATGGTTTTTTTTTAAATGTTGGAAAAAATTAGACTATTCCCACGCAGTTTACAAGATGCCGACGATTCAGTTTTCTTAGTAAAATAACCTCATGCCTTACTTTTTGGAGGAGATATGATCAGGTACCTACCTATGAGAAGGAAGGCGAACACATTTTAGGGACTTGAAGAGAAACCATTTTATAAGAAATTACTGAAATTAAAAGTGTGAGGTGCGACGCGGGAAAGAATTGTCAGCAGAGTTAACAACCACCACTTCGAAATCTCGATTAACTTTGTTGCCACATAGTAGGAGCTCCTAACATTAGTCAACTCCCAGTTTGATGAAAGGTACATTTCGAAAGGAAAATAGCAATTCAATATTACTTGAACACTCCATGAAAAATTTATTTGAGTATTTTTACTGATACTTCAGAAAGTATCAGTAGGTAGAGTACTTGTATCGAATGATAATATTCGATACCAAAAGTACTCGGTATCGAAAGAAAATACTCGATACTTTACTCATATTGATTAGTATTGCACGTCACTATCGAATCCTCGATCGATAGCAGTTGTATTTTTATTTGAAAATAATTTAGAAAATGTATAGTAGTTCAGGCACCTATGCATAGATATCCGGGTTTTAATCAGACAGGAATTATTTTACTTTACTCGCAGAATTATTAAGAAGTTAATGATTTGGAGTGCATTGTCAAAAATCAAATGTATAAATTTTTGAGATCAAGAGAGCAAAGCATTTTTTTGCGAAAATCCAGTTGAAATGGAAGGAATACAATAAGAAGAAGCATTGGATTATTGTAAGTTTTCTGAGGTAGGACTTTTAGAACATAAGGTAGTATTAATGATCCTGAACTATGACTTTAATAAACTAAGTTTATTTTAAAAAGACAGTCTGTACTGAATTTTAAATTGGTAGCCAAATAACGAATAGAAAACGGTAGAGGGAAATCAAAAACCAATGCCGTTTTCCGCAGAGTTGAATGATAAAACGCCTTCCAAGCTTTATTTGGCTTGTTGTCGAAATTCCAATAAGCAACGCAAGCAGAAAATTAAGAGCCGTAAAAAAGACTCTCCGCTCGGGGACGAAAGTATCGATTATTGTTAGGGAATCTAGACGGGTAACAGGTGTTTAGAGTCTTAAAAGAGGGTGCAAAAACTACCCCATCTTTCTGACCGGCTGGCAATTAAAAGACCGCAATGAGTCAGGCTGTTACAGGGTTTCACTGAGATGGGTTTCACCCTCCTAAATATATTTTCTCCAGCTGTCAGCCCGGCCTGGAATTCAAGAAAGGCTTGCATACTCCGCCAATGGCTATTAAACGGCATGTCTGCATCAAACATTTAACGAGATACACAGAGGCAATCACTTTCATTGAATGGCTCTTCGGCCTTCCACGCCAATTCAATTATTACCTCAATTAGTAAGCTTTTGTTCACAAACAGAGCCCATGTCCTAAGATAACAAAACGCTACTTGCCATTGTGGCTGACATCAAGCCTAACATAAATTTCATGTTGAAATGGACAAAACATTTATACAAATCATCGGCACTTCTAAGTTTATGAACAATTAACGGTTATTATTTTATATAAATATTTTATGTATAATATTAATTGAAATTATTTAAACATATGTAACAGACTTGAACTAAAAAAAGATTATACATGAATTCATTAGAGTTCGTGGTCAAATTGGCCGACCCTTTGAAATAAATTTGATAGAAGAACAGTTCAAAAGGGATGGACGCAGTTGGAAATAAGGTCGTACGAAGAAGCAGACAGGGCGACCGAAGAAGCCGCCGGAGGTACCCACTACACTTCTCAACCAACCTGTTCGACTAGCGGATTTAAAACTATTAATAATAAAAATAAAAATAAACTAGCCAAAGTGTGGCAGGTTAAGACAGACGTTGGTTCCGGTCCACGAAGAAATGGGTCAAAAAGGGAAAAGGCCCCTTGACAAGACGCACAGTTCATATAAAACTCACTTACGGCATCTTCTAGCCGGAAAGCAGTTATGCTAGAATAAAATAATCGAAAATATTTTCAATTGTAGAAGCAATATTTTCATAAATTGTCGCCCTGTCTTGGGGCATGGCGCGGCGGCGGGCACATATACCCTCAGGACTATCGAGATGTTTAAATGCATATAATCTTTATGTGTGTATGTGTTATGCCTGTTTTAATGTATTATAATGAATATAATTTATTAACTAATAATAGGAAGTGGATGTTCACCCCCTCCGAATATCGAGTAC